GTGCACGTGATTTGAACGTTAAAATCATGGGTACATTTTGCAAGTAGATGGGTGTCCATGTGTAATAAACAGTGATCGGCATTGAATGCGTTAATTTAGCTGAACTGAACAATAATGTAGACATTCTACAAGTCCCGGGACTTCTCAGAACTGATTTTATTTTTGAATACGCATATTATTTATTGTAATTTGAGTATATTGGCAGTTGCAGTGGTAATTAGTTAATTATTATTTCCTATTAAGAACTTGCTACAAATATTATCTCAAAAACAAATTTTATACGCGTTGATGACTGGTATAGCCATATAGTTTATGTCTGAGCTCGCATCTCTTTTTCCTTTACCGTCACAATATGTGATAAGCCAAAGCCGTATCAACTGCCAGTGACGTTAAAAAAATAGTGTGTGTGACGTTACGTTTGATTAGGGAAATCTTTCGTTCGCAACTCCGCAAGTTTTATCATTTATCCGTTATCATTTATCCGCGCCTCCGCTCGGTATTGAGCCGTGAGATTACAAATATTCATGGTGGCGTTATTTGTGACCGGCTCGTATGTAAATGTGAAGCAGAGTTTATGTCAAGCTCTTGGGCATTTGGATCTGAAGGTTGGTGTTAGTACGGTATCTCTTTCCTTTTACTTGCGAGCTCACCTATCCCACAGATCTCCACGAGTTATCGAAGGCAATTTTTTTTCGATTTAATCTAATCTTTTTCCCACTAAACTACCAGTAATCTTTGCATCACTGTGATGCACTAATAGAACTTAATAAAACTAATCCAAAAAGTGTACACTATACCGAATAAACAACTATGTCTGTGACCACAATTAGGTATTGTAGTAATTGGTAATTAGGTATTGTTCCGATTCGATTAATAGGGCCGGTGTCGACTGTTACCTACAGACCACCTTAGTCGAGTTACATATATATACCCATCTGCACAATGTCTTATATATTTATAACAAATAAGCCCGATCTATTTGTCTTCGTAAAGTAATTGCAAATATATTGTTCGTATATAAAAATAGCAATAGTAAGTATACTTCAAATTCTTTCAACACTGATCTGTATAGGTACTTCGTTCGTCTACGGTTCTTTCGCGTTTCAATCTTGCTTCACATTTAGTGAAGTAGAGACATTTGCGTGCCTTTTATATATAACAAAAAAAAGTGTATAGTAAATTCTAATCGCGAAAATACTAAGTCCTGCATTTTGGTTGAGAATAACATTTAGTATAAAACAGCATTGTACCAGCAATAATCATCAAACATCCTATCTTTTAACGTCATTAGGTATTTTACTGTACCTACGCAGGCACAGTGATAGCTTTATGAACTTTACCGCCAACACTAAATTCACATTTGGAAAGTTCTTTTGTAATCGCCATTTATAAACAGGTTCATCGGTATTTCAAAAATTCTATGCATTAATTTCTAATTATGAGTGACACATTTTATTTCTTTTGTGACTGTTTACGGGAGTGGATGTGAAACAAGTGACGATCAGTTTTTCTTTTTATTTCCAGACAAATTATTTCATTGTGAAAAATGGCTGCGGTGTTCGGCGTTAAAAGTCCTATGTGGGACCTGAACAAAAGCCAGTGTAAGTTTCTTTAACAACTTTAATTTAAAATAACTAGTCTCTCAGTGTACTAACTACAACTCTTGCAAGTTAACTCAAATTATTTTGTATTATTTAGCTGAGTCAAAATTTTGCAAACATGTAACTTAACATAACTAATTTTTGTTTGAGGTGTTTTGGTGTCGATTTTTGTGTTTTTTTTTTATTATTTCTTTATAATACAAGGTGGTAGGAAGAACAAGTCGTGCGCCTGGTGTTGAGTAACACGCCTATCCATAACATTTGCAGTGCCACTTAGAGCTTTAAATAGCACAGATCTGAGGGGCACTGCCACCGTCACCTTGGCCTAAGTTGATAGGTCCCATGTGCCTGTAATTACACCAGCACCCTTACCCTTCAAAACGGAACGGCAATGTTACCCTAGATGAACTCTTTCACAAGAAGCACAGGCTCAGTGTGACGGGCGCTGTGGCAGTGCCCCTCAGATCTTTGCGATATAAAGGTCTTAATCTCTGTTATGGACAGGACTAGCTTACCATCAGGCGCACGACTTGTTCGGTCCACCACTTGATAGTATAAAAAAAGTGTTATTTTGGCATTTATAATATAAGTTTTGATAAAAGATTCAATTAACTTAAATTTCGTTTATGGCTATTATTTAATTATCTATCTGCAACTCACGTTTTTACGAAACATTTTATTAAAAAACATAAACTTCAAATTAATGGGAAATGAAGTAAAATTGTTATTTAAAATGAGTGTCAGGTTAACGATTGTTATCTAAAATTAAATTATAGAATGTAAGTTAATGAGTGATTTTTTTTTATGAAAAAAGTTTTTATTAAATAACATTATATTTAATGAGCAGTAGGTTACATTGATACGATACATAGTATACACACCATTCTAGTAGCAATAGAGCTTTTTGTGAAAGACTTCGCCCAGGGAAGTGCTACCACCTTACCTGTATCTGCCGCTAAGCAGTAGGCAATGTCAGCATTAATGTGTTCCGGTTTTAAAGGAGAATCCCGCTTGCACATTACGTTCGATCCGTATTCTTTTCGAATCGGAGAGTATACAAAAACAGAAAAGTCGGACAGTCTTCGGATGTCGCTTGAATTAAATAAACTTAAACTAGGTGATCCCTGTAACACTTCATTTTAGGTTTGTCGTAGGGATGAGGTATAGTCGATAGATTTTTAGTGTATTTGATTTTTGAAACAAAAGTTCTCTCTTGTAGTTTTGTTTTTATAACGTATTCTGAACGACGTATAAATGTGTAAAGTGTGTTGTGTTATTTTGAAGGCATATACAAAGAACTATAATTCAAATGTAATACCAGTAGATATTTTAGTAAATTTCAAAAAACATTTACCATGATCATTAATTTATCGGTTTCAAAAAAGTAACAACACTGATATATCAATCATTGCCCGTGATTAAAATTCTTACTTTAAGAATGGTGAATACACTATTATCGAAAACTTTTGTCGATTTACCTCATCTCTAGCAATTGCAGTGCAATGAATTAACCTTTGCACGTTGGCGAACAAAATGTATGAATTTTGAAAAATATGTTTTGACGCTTATTTCTTACAAATAAATATTGATTTACGTGTTCTTTTTACTTCAATTCAATGTACAAAAGCGCGGCTTATGAAAACAGTTCACGTATTTCATAAATACGTAAATCAGTTCACGTCGTTACAAGGTTATATTTTGTAGATTTTTGGGAATAGTCACAAAGATCAACCTAGATTATTTTTAGTACAACTATTTGTACTTTCAATCTCCGTCAACTTTTGGCATTGTTAATACATAATGAAGACGCAGAAGAAATAAAAAGTTTTAGATACGCCTTCTCCTGTAGGACTGACTTATCAGAAAACATTTTGTAATAATTACGATGAACTTAAACAAGATAAGAAGAAATTTATATATAGTTATAACTGAATGGGTGTGCCCATTTTAAATTTCACTCTATATATACGTATCCATACATATCGATACGTGCTGCAAGTGCTGTTTCCCGTCTTTCCTCCGCGCAGCCGTCACCGCCTTTGGGACTCAGATCGGACGCGATCCGCGAAAATAATAATCCGAATCGAAGGTATTCTCGACTTCTGATGACAGAATTCTGATTTAGCGTCCAATCTCTCATGTAAATAATAGTACGGCTACTTCGGACCATCATTTCTCGGATTCCGAACGAATACGGATCGGACGCGGTGAGCATACGCTCTAAGGGTGCTGGTGAATTTACAGGCACATGGGACTTGTCAACTTATGTCTCTAGGTGTAGGTGTATTATGGACAGGCGTGTAGTTTGCCATCAAGTGTACGGCTTGTTCGGCCTGTCACTAGATATTATAGTCACAAGACATTACATATCACTAAAACGTATCTGATCGTAGTTATCACGGTAACTCCTCACAGCGAAGCTATTTTCCTAAACCTAATTTTAGGCAATCGTTTAACAATCTATTCTAATTTCATGTCCCTCAATTAGCTGCATGATTTGCAATAAGCCAAGACAACAAGAAAGGTCAAAGAGTTCGTCGCTACTTTGAATTTACTATAAGTAAATTTTTATAAGTAATATATTTAAAAAAAAACTTTATGTGCTTAATTATTTCTAAATGGCGAACTATTGCTATTGTACTTGCAAATAGTGAGCTTCAAGTAATTGAATGAAATTTTAGATATTGTAGTTTTGTTATCGTTTGTAACCAGTAAACAGACGTCGACGCAATGGAAAGTAATTACTGCTTGACACCGGCTGCACAATGCCCTTTTGCGGTACTAAGAAAACACGTGCAACATCGCAAATGCTTTCTTGTGTCTATAGTCTTGTATGCCTGTGATTAAGCTAGCTCTAGATGGAACACAGCAGAGAGCATTGACAGACATTGAAAAAGACAGGGGGAGCACGTCACAGAGGAGAACCTGATCATCAGTAATTGCAAATTTTCTCAATAAAAAAATAATATTTTTCAGATGACGAAATCGACGACCTACCTCTCATGTCTACACCTGGTGTAATCATGATGATCCTCGCAACTTACCTTCTCTTCGTACTAAAGATCGGCCCTGACTTTATGAGAAAACGCGAAGCATTCAAACTTACCAAAGTTCTGATAGTTTATAATGCTGTCCAAGTTGTCGCTTCAGCGTTTTTAGTACAATATGTAAGTCTTGTTATCTAAGAATATCTTTATTTATTCTACGAGATAAGTAAAAAGTATAAATAAAAGACATGAAGAACACAACAAAACACAACATAATCTAAGCTTTCGTCATCGAATCTCACTTTATCACAATCTTATTTTTGAAAAAATACTGTAATTTTTAAAACAAATTTTGCGTTGTTTTTAAAAAAAAATTCTCTTACAGTACTTAAGAAGTTTACTACGGACAGGATTGACTCCACAGAAATGTTACATGGGTGAGGAAAGCTATAGAAAAGAGGTGAGTATAAAGTAATTGGGCCGTAATTATCTACCGGGCTCATATACTTTGTAACCTAGTTTGTCGTTAATAGTAATTTATATTTCTTTAAAAAAATATAGATGAACCATCTTGGGTCTAGAGGTAGGGGAAGACCTAGGAACAGTACCACATAGACCACAGGAAATGTAAGCATGAAGTCGGACAAGGAAGTTCAGTAAAAAGCTCCCAGCAGAGAAACCTAGAAGAGCTACCTGTAAAAACAAGAGCAATTCTAGTTTGCAGTCAGTGCCCTAAGATACCTGAGTTTGCCTTTTTTTAATATAATATCAAGTGACAGGACGGACAAGTAGTGCGCCTTACGGTAAGCGACACGCCTGATCATAACAGTTGCATTGCCTCTCCGAACTTTGAATCGCAAAAACATTGAGGCGCACTGCCTCTGTCACTCTGAGACAAGTCAAGTGTTGACAAGTCTCATGTGCCTGTAATTTCACCGGCACCCTTCAAAACTGGAACACATTGCCGACATTACTGCTTGGAGGCAGAAATAGGTAAGGTGGCAGTACTTCGTAGTTTGCCTGGCCCAACTAACCGACCATTTGGTTAAAAAAATGTTGATCTTAACCTTTAACCTGTGAGCAGGAAAATTCATTTTGGTATGACTTCCAGATTATCCGGTACATATCATTAGTGACCAGTAGCGAGGCGTCCATATAACTCGATTCCCACCGGCTTGCCCAAAATTTTCCACGTATTATCAAAACACTGTACGAGACAGCGCGCATACCCCACAACTTAAAAACTTTACTCAAAATATTCATTGATAAACGTGTAGTAAGTGACCTGTCCTTGATAATACGGAGCTTGCCGATGGATCTTATTACCAATTACAGCCCGAGTTAAACCGCTAATTTTCGGCTTTCATTTCATTCGTAAAACCTACGCGCATCATCAAAATTCACGTACATATTCGCAAAAGTTCGCTATCATACATTGGTAGAAAATGGGTCGCCGAAAACCCGCTAAACTTGTCGCCAATATGTGTCTTAGGAAAAATTGTTGCCTAGTGTAAAACTTTTTGTTACTATTGTCAAATATTATAATACCATATTAATTTAAAAAAGGTCTATTAGTATTTGGTAAATATTGAACGATAAAAAGCGTTACAAAAATTTGTTTGTTTAGGTGTTTTAGGGTCGTATTCCAGAACTCTACTCAATACTCAAGTCAGGACTTAAGCAGACTTGAGTATGATTTCAAGCACTGGAAATACGGCACTAATGGCAAGCTCTTGAGTATGGTTTTCAGTGCTTTAAATCATACTCAAGTCCTGACTTGAGCATTGAGTAAAGTTCTGGAATACGGCCCTTAGTTTACTAGGCCTAGCCTACGTAAAGGAGAAGCTCGTGTTAATTAGCAGTTTCAGTTAAAAAGCAAAGTGGCAACAATTGCATTCACTTGTCGCGATATATCTTTCTAATTAGTGGTCGCGATTCTCGCGATATGAAAGTTTGTTTACAAGTAACGAATTGTTAAAATAATGTAATAAATTTTATATTTATCGTTATAGAACCAGGGAAATTACCTTTAGTAGTGTCCTGTCTGTTAATGAGTGATGATTTAAGATTCGCCAAGGCATCTTTTCAAGTACTATAATTAATTAAGTAATATAACTATTTATTTGTATATGGCCGCTTTAGTCTAATTCGATTGTTGTCTCGTTGATTATTTGCTTAATGAAGCAACATATTTTTCAAAACTATCCTTTGGAAAAAAAAATGTTATTAACCAAAGCCTGTGCCGGCCAGAGATGAAAATTGATTACAAGCAGAAAAATCGTATTTTCAAACACTCTCGTAATATTTTAAAAATTCTCTAATATTTTATGACAAATACAACTGCCTGATAATCTCACAAATTAAATTTCGAATATTAACTCTGTGTCACATTTTTTTACCCTTCCCGTATCGGTTGCATCAAAGTAAAAGATTATTTATTCCATAGGTAAAATAAATTTACAATTGAAAACGTCACATTTAAGCTACTGCTCGTTCACTACGCTGAAGATCATCATTGCAGAAGATCGTTTTAGAAGCGAATTTATACCTACTCGCGAAATTGTCAAAAAGAAGAAAGATTATAAATTTTGGCTATAATTTCGTTTATTATATATTAAATTTGTAATTAAAACGCGAGTAACTTTTAGAACCATACGGTCGGCTATGGGGTCAGGTATCTTAAGGCATCGGCTATGCCTTGCACTCTACTAAGTGCAGAAATGTTTCCTCGTGTTTCTGATAATATTCATCATCAGCTTACACACATTCATTGCTGGACGTAAGCCTCCCCTTGAGCACGCCAACTCTCTCGGTCTTGTGCCGCCCGCATCCAACCGCTACCGGCCACCTTTCTCAGGTCGTCCGTCCATCTTGCCGCAGAGCGACCTACACTACGTTTTCCTTGACTTGGTCGTCATTCCAGAACAAGTCTGCTCCATCGGCGATCAGCCCTCCTGCAGACATGCCCGGGCCACCACTTAAGCTTATCGATTTTGGGAGTTATGTCGATCACTTAGTTCTCTGACGTATGACCTCATTAGAGATTCGATCTATCAGAGAAACCCCAAGCATAGTAAGTACTGCCACCTTACCTATTTCTGCCGTCAAGCTGTAATGTCAGCATTACTGTGTTCTAGTTTTGAAGGGTAAGGTTGCTGGTGAAATTACAGGTACATGGGACTTGTCAACTTATGTCTTAGGGTGTCGGGCTCAGTGGCATTTCCCCTCAGATTTTTGCGATTTAAAGCTCTGAGTGGCACTGAAACTGTTATGAACAGGCGTGTAGCTTACCATCAGCACACGATTACTTGTTCGTCCCGTCACTTGATATTATAATAAAAAAGCCTTACTTTTTACACTTTATGGGATTGACTACCTGAAGATGTGGCTAAACTGATATATTGCTGTCCTCTAATTCCCTTGATCATAAATAAAACCTTTTTATTAGGAAAAATCTACCATTTTTGTGTTATCGACTTCTAATCATTGGCATTGGCTGTATTAAAAGTATTATAATTTATGCACTAATTCTAAAACTCTGATGTTTTCTTTTTCAGATACTTTTAGGGATTTGGTTTTATCTCGCTGCTAAAGTAACCGAGCTCCTTGACACAATCTTCTTTGTGCTCAGAAAGAAGAATAATCAAATTACTTTCCTTCACTTGTACCATCATTCAATCATGATGGTTGGCACTTGGGCCCTTTTAAAGTACTGTCCATCTCAGAATCTTTTCTTTATCGGATTCATCAATTCTTTGGTACATATATTTATGTACACTTATTACGGACTGGCAGCTTTGGGACCTAATGTCGCGAAATATTTAACGTGGAAAAAACATATGACCAAATTCCAATTGGTAAGTTTGGTTAACGTCACGCTCGGTACTTTGTGTTTATCAGTGTAAAAATTTATTTGAAGATTTCATAATATATTTGGGTTTTTCCAGGTTAGTTTTCTCTACATAATTTGGGTAATTTTTTGATTTAAGTATTCGCGTAAATTATCGTGAAATATTAATTAATATTTCAAGTTACTCACACTCGAATATTGGAAATACTTCATGACAATATTCTACAATAATTCGATACATCCAATGAGCTCTACGCCAACATCATTTTTGGACCTGATTTATTTTTTGTTTCTTTATTTTTTCACAAAATTCGTTTTTTTTGTTTCTTTTGCAAATTTTATTTTTGTTTCTTTATTTTTTCACAAAATTCGGGGAGCATAATATTACTAAATAAATATGGCTGTTTCCAAACATAACAGAAAATGACCAAAAAATAAGTTCGCATAGAGTTCATTACAGGTATCGATTTAAATAATAGAAATTGCCACCAAAATTAGGTAAAGAAAAGGAATCTGAAATTATCCATTTCAACAAACCAGGAATATCTTATTTGTAGAAATTAAAGTATAATTTTTTAAATCATATTATTAGCAGATAACGCTTGTTTTTGTAGAAATGGAATTTTTAAATTTATATTTCTTTTTTTAGATCCAATTTGTCTCCATCATAGTCCAGTACGTAATCAGCACCCGAATCTCCGATTGTCCCCCAACCAAAGGAACTGCGATCTTCGTTGCTAGTAATACCTTCGTATTTCTACTGCTCTTTTTGAACTTCTACCGCCAAAAATATATTCAAAAGAAGCCCAAAACAAATTGAATTATGACAAGTACTAATTGGTTCTCACATGTAATAAAGCAGCTGCAAGTTCAAAATTCTTGACACTTAAGTCCTGTAAGTAACGAAAAAAAGAAAGTTAAGTACTGTAAGTCCTTTCCTCGTAAATACCTATATTATGCCCAGTAATTCAAGTAAATACAACTATTATTTTGTATAAGCCTTTCTTGATGTCATAATTAATAAAAAATTATGAATATAGAAGATTTATTTTTTTTAATTTCAACATTATGTCAACACTGTCAGCTATTTGAAAAGTTTTACAAATTTCTATATTTATTCTTCTCTATGGTGTTGCAGTTATATAAAGATCAAAACTACAAATCTTTTATTTATTTTTTTATTTATAAGGCATAATTAAACATGTACAGTACAATCAAGTTACTACGCCTTCAAAGTGTGCATTGTTTAAGCAAATTTTACTTGTAGCAAAGCTAGACTACGTCGTCAGACCTGGTCAAGTTCGATTCCAATCTTTATCATCTTATAGTGTAGTAAAATTTACATACTTACATACCTAACCGACGTTAAATAAACGCAAAGAGAAAACATTAAAGTGGAGAATTTGGTGATGTCGGTGTTCCAGTATCACGCGAAAAATTACGAGACTATCAAAATGTTACTTTTTTTGGCATGGACACGTACATAAAACACCACAAATTACGCCCAAACTCAGGAGAGCAATAAATGAAGGCCATACAAACTGTTCTCCCGGCCCGGGAATCGAACTCAATACTTTAAGGAAACAAATTTATATCCACATCAACGAATTACAGCAACGAATGACACTCCAGTGTAGACTAAAAGTCTTTTTGACACAGTTTTATAATAAGATATGACTATAATCCGCCCCTATGATATTTGTTAGAGCGGTCACACGTGGTGATTTTTAACTGCGATTCTAACGCATGTTTGTGGAAAGTGGAATTGTATCGCGGCACTAGCGATTTATAGGCATAAGCATCGAACGCACGTTTGAATCGATGCAGACACGTATGTCTACCGCAACAAAATGGCGCGGACGGGTGAATCTTCAATACCACAAAAAAAAATCACGACTGTACCATGATTTCATCGATACCGTATCGCTTTGTATCGCGATCGTATCGCTGAAGCTGCGGCGGTATCGCGTTTGTATTGTGATCGTATCACTGCTTAAGTTGCGCGTGTGGGAGGTAGATTATTTTATTAGTGACAGTTTCGCTACTGCACAACTGAATCTCTGCCAACGCGCTGTTAAAAGTGGCCATGTTTAAGCGACATATTCGGTTTGGTTGATTCTGCATAACATTGGCAGTGTTGAATTAGTCACTTTGGAAAAATATATAGTAAAACTGAGGATATGCACCGATTACTATACGATCAATGATCTTATATTGTATACGGTGAGAAAAATCGGTTTCTAAAAATTTTCACGATAGAAAAAAACACAAACTTACTTAGAAATTTTACAAGAAATCCGCTGTATTCAATATGTACTTGACATATGGCAATGATTTTTTTTATATCAACAACTGAATAGAATACGTATACTATACTATGTACATTTTTCAAATTACTATAATTTCATTTGTAAAAAAATTATTTCTGAAATAAAGCCGGTGTCCCTGCCTCTCGCCTCAAGCAAAATCAACCATATTAGTACGAGATAGGTTTTAATTCGAGCAGAGTTGGTATCGACTCTTAATAAAGGTATATACAATAAGGCAATAAAAAAGAACACATTTTTAAAATGACATATATTTAACGAACGTTATGTACGGTTACAATTTGCTACATAAAATTGTGCGAATCTATTAGAAAATATGGAAGTCTTGGTGTAGGAAAGCACTTTCATATATATAAAGTTCTAGTTAAAATAAAAGTTAATTTATAACAGTATTTAACCACATCCATTTCTTAATACCTCGAACCCTTGATTTAAAGAAGACATAAGTATAAACACACCACAATTTATAACAATGAAATTATAAAAAATTCACACTTAATTCTTCAATTCAACCTCAAGAAAATTGTCCACAGATAATCTTGGCTCAGGAAAATGACCATTTTTGAAAACAGATTTGTTTTTCTAAGGAAATTAAAAACGTTTGAAAAGAAATAAAATACTTAGAAACCTTCTTGGAAGAATTTTCTTCTCTCCACAACTAGTTACTTGAAATGGAAGACGTTTCATACAAATGTATCACTAGCTTTTATTTAATTGACAACAATTCCACATTTAATATGAAATTTAAGTTGTTTAATTTCTTCTTCAAAATCCAGTAAAACGTCGTTATGATCTTAACAACCCTCTATATTATAATAAAAATCACGCTGAGAGTCCTGTGTCCCGCTTTGAAAGAAGTAATAGTTTCTTGCATCCTAGGTACATATCATTTAATATATTACGATATTCAGAAAAAAATATACGTACAGCCAATTCACTGTCGATTTACGATCACAGAATTATCAATTTCATAAATTCTAACAAATATTAGCAAATATTTCACTCTGAATATCATTAATATTCGAGCGTATAATTCCTAAATTAATTACCTTAAAAACATTTTATCTATCATTTTACATACTCGGTTAAATTCTCTAACATAAGTTATCGAACGCCAAAACTGAGTATAAATTAAACAAAATTTTATATAAAATAATTACACGCATAATTTGGTTTTTAACATCAAAATATTACTTGTTTTAACCTAAATCGGTTACCTTGGCATAAAACCAAATATTTCATTATACTGAATAAAATTGTTACTTATTCAAGTTTCAATCTTTCACAAAATTCATTGCAAATTTTGTCAAAGTCTGAACATGGAGCCATGTATCTTTACCTAACTATTTATATATCAACAGTAAGGTGAGATTCTATAAGAATCACAATATTGGCTCTACTTCTATCAAGAGCCGCATATCTATTACATAAAAATCTTGAAACTTTAATATAATAGATGGCCCTCCCGAAGACTAAAGAGCTACTGTACATATTTAAGACTTCATTGCCGCTTTCATTTCTCTCATGCTAATTATTAGAATAAAACGAATCACATGTTCTCCTTACATCTCCTTCTTGTCTTCTTTCGTACTATTGTGTTTGTTGTGGCCATTTTTAATACCATTAGCATTACCATTTTCATGATTTTTGGTATCTCCAGCGTTAAGTTTTGCTTTGCCTTTATCTCCTGGTTTGCCATAGGCTTTGTAGTAGAAATCGTAGAAGAGGTAATAGAAGAATATGGAGTTAGGCAGGGTGAAGACAATGGACCAACGTGGGTAGCCGCAATCGTAGAAGACCAATTGAAACGAATGAAGAAAGGCGATGCAGAACTGGAGCTAAAAATAAATAAAAGAACAATCAACTGAAGTATTCATCAATTATCAACGAATTAAGTACCAAAATGGTCAAAATCAAAATATGAAGTTTCTTTGTGGGTTTAACTATTATTGCACGGTTTAACTTTTGGTTAACTGTTACAAGTATTCAAGTTAAGATACTTGTGATAACTAATTGTTAAATACATACCATTTGCAATGTAGTAATATGTCTCTTCCAAAACAAGTACTTCTGGAATTGAGGTCCACAAGCGGCTAACATGTAATACGTATACATAATAATGTGAACAAAGGAGTTGATAACACCAATCAAGGTTCCATGTCCTCCTGGGTAGTATTTGGTGGCTCCCCAAGATATCATCGGCATCACGGTGTGGTGATACAAATGAAGGAAAGTGATTTGGTTATTCTTCTTTCTGATTACGAAGAAGACCGTGTCGAGGAGTTCGGATATCTTCGCGAGGAAGTACACGTAGACGCCTCTAGCTACCTGGAATATATTAAAAAGCAAATTGACTTTACTGTTTTCTATTAGTAAGATAAGATAATATAATCTCATACAAAAAAATGTCACGCTCGTTACTCGGAAGCTTATTTTGATTCTTAATGCGCTGATTCATGAATGGTATCAAGTAAACCCGCGGTGCGATTGTAATAATATACGAATGGGCCAACAGATGGCAGCTATCGAGGTTATTGCTCTTGTTAAGGGGATGATTATATATACAATAACATATAATAAAATCGCTAAGAAGCTGAGTTAGTTACTTTTATATTTTAAATAAAAAGTCCGTGATAAAACGTTACTTAGTTACGAGAACAAATTCAAAGAAGTGCCATCTATACAACTGATTGAAAACTAATAAATTAAAAAGAATACCACAGAAAATCCTTCGTTTTGTTATCTTTTCAACAACAATTAAATGTTTTCACCAATTTTCATAATTGCAAATAAATATTAATTTCAACATTCCTAAAACGTTGTTTAAATAATTTTGCATTTCTTTTTTATATTTTATACTTCTTATTTAGTATGACGCCTCAAATTTTCGAGATTCAATACTTTCTTCTTACTTCTTACTTTTTATTTTTTTCAAAGCGTCGCCATCTACAATTTTAAATATGTACTAAAGTTAATTTATATGAATTGATACCCCATGGTAATACTACAAACGTAGAAAAATGATCGATTATCGATTGAGAACATGAAAAATAATTTGCGCTTTCGTTGGTTTTAAAATCTGTACAAATGGTCGTCATACGGATGTGTATGGTTTTGTAACATTACCACCATTTACAATTACAATTTGACAATCACTTTCTAATTTAAAAATCGTCATTAGGTAGGTGACTACAAACTTAACCATTAAAACTATTTTACTACTCAGAATTAGTCATATGTAATAAACCCTTATTGAATGCCGTCAAAGTAATTGTTATTAATAATAATTCATCGTGATTAACGTTAACGTTAGTACGGTCATTAAAGATATAATTGCTATAGATAAGTCGTTATTATTACAACGACGCGTAAATCGATTGTGAAATGACATAATACAGTTAATTTACATCATTAGTTTATAGCTCTTAAAGTGAAAATTAAAAAAGAAACAGAAAACGGAAAGAAATTCTCGATCTATCAGAATAAGTACTTGTAATCTATTAACTAAAAGTTTTACCCCACAGGGCTGGCACAAGATCGTATGTACGATATATAAGAGCCAAAACATAAAGGTCATTGTGGACTTTAAAAATAACAACCCTAATTCTTATTTTTTTTCTTTGTATATTTTTGTCGGGTAGTAAGGGAAAAAATATTTTCCCGAATAGGCTAAATAGTAGAACAGAAGTTCGTTTCGAAGTGCAAAGTAAGTATCTGTAATTTGGCGTCGGTTTCGACGTATGATGTAATTCACTAGGCTGAATTTTTCAAATGGTAATACTTTTCCTTGAAACGACCCACAACGGCAAAATATCTATGACCCGTCAAATTTTACTAGACGGTTAACTGAAACTTACTCTCATAGCTTCTGGCGATCTTGAAAAGTCCACGCCCTGACATTTCCAACTATAAGTCCTTAACCAACCGGCATCCAGACCCTGAAATTCACACAAATATATTCGCTACATAAATTTAATGACACTTATTCTAAGGTTTCTTTATTATTAATACAGTGATCGATCAAATACAGAAAAAATACTTCGATCCAACGACTCGAACCAGTGACTGTTGCCTCACCGTGGTTCAAATCAGCACATCTTACGAATTTTTTGCTATCAACCTTTGCATTGAGTTCAAACTCTTTGTATTGAGGCTTTCTATCATAGCGCCACCTGTGACAAACTTATGAAAGTTTCTTTACTCCGTTACTTTACAGCTACCAGAAGACTAACAGAGATGTCGCTATATTCATTGCAATATTCATAAAAACAATTTCAAAACCCTTAAAACAATTTCTTTCAAGATTTGCTGTACACCTGTACTTTACAGATGCCAATAATAAATACTTTACAATACCGTCCAGCTTGATTTTCATTGCCTCTCCCGATCGGAAACTGCGTCTTTTCCGAGTCAAGGCGCATAATTGCGAATCACAACTGGCCGATCGGAAACTTTTGACATTTTTAATCGGAACAATAGTTAATTTAACTCACGAATTAGAAAGACATAGTAGGAGTCAGGTTCATCTTCTCACTCAGAAATCCATCTGATTTCGAGACTACCCGGTCGGATCAATTCAGATTTGAATCAAAATCAGGACGCAGAAAATGTTTGGCATTTAAAAGTATGCTTTACTTAAAAAAAATAATATTAAACAAAGAACTTACCTCATAAAACAACCAGCTGCTGACTAGCACTTGAATGAAATTGTAAACGACCAAAGTCTTTTGAAGTTGGAAGGGCTTTTTATCAGCCATATACCGCGGACCCCATTTCAGTGTGAAGTACAGGTACAGTCCGATGATGGTCATACCTGGCAGTGGACTTTTGATGAGGAACCAGTCATTGGTACGAGGATCTGTAAACAAGAACAAAATATTTATTGCATTGTCGTCATGTACCTCACGAAACCCTCCCCGCACGACGTATCCTGTCTTTCCTGTACGTCTGGTACAGCCTGGGTAACAATTCCCGATTGGATAATCCTCTTACCACGATGGCAAGCATAGTGTATGCCATTTTGATTGGTCCGTGATGCCATCGATACAAGAGGATTGCATTTTATGATGAGAACTTATATACGGATAAGTTTTTGCTTCAATATCAATGGCAGGCGCTTTGCATACCAATTCGTCGGACTGACGTAAAAAAAAACAAGATTAGATTGATTGTTATAAATATTATTATAAAATAATTATTCACTGAAATTATTTTAAACGCTCTTTGTATAACTAAAACGAACAAGATAATTGATATTGTTCGGACCTATAAGAATAAATTAGATTATTCTCTAGATTCATCATAAAATTTACAGCTCGCGAAAAAAATTTTTTACGCTTTCTATATTTAATAATAAAAATACACTTAAAATCAATAGCTTTGGGTCTGGTATAATCGTGGCAAGTGATCGCTATTGTTTTGAAAATAGGGCTCATTCAGAGTACAGGCGCGGGCGCGACGGCGGGTGCGGGCGCGCTGGTCTTGGCGTCTTCGTCATAATGCCGAAGCGGCTACGAGTGGGTTGATCCACACGTCGAAATCTCAAACAGACGCTAGACGCTAGACCAAGCACTGTGAAAGGTACGGGCGGACTGAGCCAATATCTCTACCCGCGAGTCGTGCACGGCCACTGTGGACGCAACGAGCCTCTACGTACATTTGATTAAATCTCTGAATAAGGCCCATGATGGTGGCAATACTAGAGAAATAAGCACGTTTAGTCAATCGATCTTCCCACTATTTCTATATGATAAAACATTTCCATCTTACAGGAATTGCAGATTGAAGCACTTCGTCACCTTTCATACTCTCATCTGAATCTATCGGCTACAAATTGAATCAAAGAAGAAATAAGTAGATTCGGGCCCAACGGTGTCTTTAAAAAGAAAAGAAATTATTTTTATAAAAAAATAGAAACAGACATACAAGGCTTAGAAGATGGAAAAAAATAAAGGAATAGTCTAAGATACAGGGTACAAAAATAAACTGACTGTACTTGACATTCAGAGAGTTGTCTTGACAAACACAACTTCATACATTTCTAAAATTAAATTCCGGTTGATATTCTACGTTTTGATCTTTACGATGCTTAAAATTATAATGAAACAAAAAAGAAAACTGGTTCAGTTCAATGTACTTGGACGAGAAAATCCTTGGTAGTGCCCCGTTTAGTTCTTGCAGGTTGTTTTGATATATACGATATTTGAAAGATATATTGTAAGAGATATTTAAATACGTTTGTACAAACAGAGTTGTTCACTTTTTCTCCTCAGAGGAATCTGTCTTCTTATTTATTTTTTTACAGTACAAAGTGACGGGACGAACAAGTCGTGCGCTTGGTGATAAACGAAACTCCTGTTCATAACAGTTGCAGTGCCACTCTCAGCTTTAAATCGCAAACATCTGGGTGGCAATGCTACTGCGCCTGTCACCCTGCGACATAAATTTAAAAGCCCCACGTGCCTACAATTTCACCAGCATACTTATCGTTGAAAACCGAAACGCAATAACGCTCACATATGACGTCGATTCTTCGTGTAATAAACAATACGTGTTTTTTTTTAATGATACGTAGTGACGCAACAGACTAGTCGTGTACCTGGTGTTGAGAGATACATCTGCTCATAGCAGTTGCAGTGCCACTGCCATAACAGCGCCTGTCACCGTGAGACATAAGTTGACAAGTCTCATGTGCCTGGACTTTTCATCAGTACCCTTAGGCTACCATTTCACCAGCGATGTACGACGTAGCTAGGCGGTGTACGAGGAAAAAATCCACCAATGGGATTGCTTCAATTTGCTTCGCTTAGCGCAACTCCGGTGTGAAAGGGTTAGCGGAGCTAAGTATTTGTACATACAAAATGGCGTGAAATGTGTGCGAAGGATGCGGGCGAGGAATGCGTGCCAAACGGTACAGGAAACTAGAACTACTGAAAGTATGACACTAACTGACACTGACACGTCGCCACCGCTCACCCCACCACACCGTACCCCGCCCGCGCAGAGCTGAAATTGTCCGTAATGCATCCTCGCACCGCGCCGCTGCACATCCACTCACTCGCTACCTCGCACATCTCTGGTGGAAAGCCTAACCCTTCAAAACCGGAACGCAGTAAGGCTCATGCTGACATTACGGTGGCAGAAATAGATAAGGTAGCAGCTGAATTCTCTCACAAGGAGTTTTACTGCTATTAAACTATGAAATAAAACGATTATTTGAGTTTGAGTTTAAATGTCCGTCTGTTGTAATTGCTCACTTATATCCTTGTAACACAATTAACTATTGCTATAATAATACATATAGACGTTTATAACTTAACGCCACACTATATATTTATTACCATTGTTTTGCTTAGACCATACTTAATAAGACCTATTGAATAAACTGTCTTATCTAAGAATGTAATTTTACCAGAGTTATTACTAACTTGGTACTTAATTATTACATACAAATAGTTATAGTTAGATTTTTAATTATCGATTGCAAACATAAAGCTAGTAATGTCGTTTGTAAATAATAATATTTTCGTGTTTATTAAATTGTGATGCGCTTGGGTTTTCTGTAGCAGATACGTCGAATTTCTTAGCGTGTACACGCGCCCTAATAAACATTTCAATCAGCCATGAGCCATGACCGTGGAACCAGTAAAAAAGCTCGAAATGTTGGTTTGCTTTTTAGCAATCGTAATACCTAAGAACTCGATAACTTCAAATTTCTACTGAGCAAATTGATTAAATAGATTCTTTAATACAACACTATCTTTATTAAATATTATCATCCTGTAACATAAAATCCGACTATAGTGAAGACTTGAAACTTTCTTTATGTGCACTGCAAAAAAGATTCCAATAAAGTAGAATTTTAGACTGTTTGACAAATTATTAACTGAATTAATCACAATATTATTTAATTACTTAAAATTATTGTTGCAGTCATTGTGTATGTTGTTGCAATTATCCTTGATAAGAAACTTGGGTAAATTAGTACAAAATACTTACTTTTTTATAAAGATATCTAATTTACAACTTTAGAAGACAAAGCATTAGAAAAAAGTAAATAAATAAATATAACGCATCACAGTCATCAGCGCAGGCAGGGTGCACTCATAGATTTAGTATATCCATACTAGTGAAACCCTGTGTCGCGGGTGCCATGGACACACACATAGACAACCTTAACAAATTACACCCAAACTCGGGAGGGACATAAATGTAGGCCATACACATATATGGCAATCCAGTTGGTAACCGTTCGGCAACGGAGGTAGTTAAGTAAATGAATAAAACAGAAAAATACGTGCAATATTGCAGTGACACAATATTGCCATTAACGTAGCGTCAGGAGTTAGCGTTCATATATATAATTGTGCTGGAAACAAATTTCAACAGTAGTTATCCTGTTAATTTTAATCACTTTTTCGTTAATTGTAAGTAAGTGATTTTGCACTTTTGGTTTAATAGAAAGGTAAAAATAATGTCACTCAGGAAGAACTAATATAATGAAGAGTAGTAATAATGACGACTTTGATTCACATGATTTAAAAAAATATTTTGTTTCAATTCTGCAACATACCGACATAAAATGGAACTGTCACAAAACAATTACACGATAATATGATAATAAACTCTTTGGTGCATCAAAATTGTAAAGGATACTGATGGTGATGAACACTTTTTTCACTTCCGTGATAATGAATACATATTTCTGCGATACAAGTTTATACTTGGTGCAGGAACATTATTATAGTTGTAAAGGTTGTAATAATCAAGTAAATAACCAGAAAAAGAGACGAAATGCCATTTAATTTGTTTAAAAATTATTCTGCCATATCATTACCGTGACAACTGCGCTCTGATTGGCCAGCCCGAATTCATACAATTGACGGGTGTCATTAATTGTTTCACTTCAAAACGACCAGTTGAACTTGAGCTTTGCTATAATGGACGAAAATTTAAAAATTACATATTTAATATTTAATTACCGATGAAATATGATTCCGTTTGTTTTGTAATTAGATGTTTTGCTGTTTCCCACACCACCGAATGGAACACCTCCAAGTTAGAGATATTATCTTTATTACAATAAATACATTTTGGAATATACGGAGATCTATACACAGGTCAGTTATTGGCGCTTTACTATTTCAGCTTTCTAATTTGTGATTTCAGTGCAACAAGAGTTGATATGCCCTTGAGTTGCCAGGGATGGAAGGCGTTTATTTCGTCTCTATTTCTGGTTATATACTCGATGGTTGTAACACTAAAACAGGTTTTCAAGGAGAGAAAATTTAACATAGTTTTTGATTCCCAAAATGTTACAATATATATGTTATAATACTATAATATATATATATATATATATATATATATATATATATATATATGTATACGAGCAGTTCTTTATTAATTGAGGATGACCGGTTTTAAATAGCCACAGTTCTCTCTAATTATTTGTTTCTTTAACAAGTAGTTGAATCTTAATTAAATTTCAAAAGCCATTGGTGTTGTTCTCCTTCTGAATCCTGTGCATTCTCCGGAGTAACAAATAAAAGGTAATAAACGTTTGTAATCGAAATAACCTCAATAAAATCTCATATGACACATTAAACATATAATATAATATGTACAATACATACACTAAAATCAAGTCTAAACGGGTAATAGGAACAATTAATTGCTACAAGAGATCTCTGGTCTTATGCTATATAACTACTATACCTACTTTTTGCGTTGATTCATCATTTCCATCCTAATTATGCACGAGCACATTCTTTTTTATACATTTTATACTTTTTATAACTTTTAAATTTGTATTCCTTTCGACGTTATGTTTTTATGAACGTTGTTGTCTTAAAAATCGCTAATTAAAATATGTTCCCAATAATCGCAAAGGATTACTATTTTCTTCTTTTTCTTCCTCTATTCGAAACCACTACAATTACTAAACACAATAATTAATCTACAATTAAATCAAAATTACAACTTATTACTATAAAATAAATACACAGTTGTATTGCATTTAACCTTTTGCACAATACAAATCTTCCAGCATTTTCCAGTCACGGTGGCGTTGAACAATTTAATTTGCATTTATGGCCGCATTGGACGTATAATTTCGTATTACGCAAAGACGTCGGAGGTTGTTAGTACTGTAGAAAATAAGTGAGCATCTAAACAGGTAAACCGTGTTATAATAAGTTCTTTTAACGATGGTGTTTAAAAAAATAATGCGCAGGATAATGGACCAACAAACCGGTCAACAAAATAGCGATTCAATTTAAGAAAAAATAAATTGATACGTTATTTTTTATTTTTCCGGTTGCTGTTTTTCTGTAGTCGAAATCTATACAATATTTATATTATATATTTTAGTAGCTGTAGAGCTCCTTATGAAAGACCGTCCAGGGAAGTAACCTTACCTATTTCTGCCGACAAGCTCTAATGTGCTTTATAGCATCCCGGTTTGACAGGGTAAAGGTGCCGGTGAAATTACAGGTAAATGGGCCTTGTCAACTTATGCCTCAGGGTGACGGGCGCAGTGGCAGTAACCCTCAGATCTTTGCGATTTAAATGCTCGTTCACGTCAATGTTGCGTTCGTCACTTGGTATTATATAAAAAAAAATTTGACTATTAATTTGTATAAAATTTTACCATTTTGATCGAAAATTACTGGATTTTAAGCGTGATATACAATTTCGAAACAATATAGAACCATATGCAACCAGCACAACTATTATACGTAAATTATTTTCTATGTCGTGTCCATGGACATGCCGTAGAATTTGATTAATACGTAACGAAGTTACATCCACACCACGTTTGTGCTAAACTATAATAATATAAAACGGACTTAGTACCCGAGCAAATAATGAGTAATTAATTTTTAATGATAAAAAAAACAAAAACGGGTTTGAGAATTTCAACAAAAACCTATCTATCGTGTTTATTCAAATTCTCAAAACCAGATACGTCATACTACTAAGTTCTTACACGACAGATTTTTTAGATGCATTATATAACCTTCTATAACCTCGTGTACATAAAAATGTACATAATATATGAAGTGATTCAGATCCAGACAATATTATTCCTATGATGAAGTAAAGTCCCGGTGTACATTATAATGAAAATGTCTCATTCAAATTTAGCGCTACATGTTCTATATGATCATAGGGTATTTAAAAAATACGTTTTTATACAAAACATTGGGCCTTCCGTGGCTTATTCATTGTATTTTGCTGTGTCTAAGAAGGGTAGAAGTGATAATCGAAGAAAAGATAGGCAGGGGAAGGCTAGGCGAAATATAGATCAGATAGGGGAAAATATTAATGTCGTATTGCATCAGGCACTGAAAGCTTGAAACAAATAATAATAATAATAATAGTTTAACTTGACTTCGCTCCGTAAATGCGTTTCAAACCAGCTAACAAGCTGAGAAGAATAAAGTAAATAATAATAATAAATCCACTCATAGTCCTGCACTAGGGAAACCATGTACCGCGGGTGCCATGGACATATACAACCAAACTCACGAGAGAAATAAATGTACTCCCTACAAATATTTCTCTCGACCCGGGAGTCGAACTTGGGACCTTTGCGTGGCAGACCAGCATGATAACCACCCAGGTATGAAGGCAGTTAAAATACACTGATGATAAATAATAAAATAATTTATATCGTGGAAGTGAACCGTATGAAGGTTTAAAATTGTACATAATCTCAGTACAGAGTACTAAAAAACCGATCTCAAAAGTACGTAGAATTACCAAGTTTGATTGAAATCGGTTACCGGAAAGTGCGCAAACCCGGATTCATCCCCTAGTTCGCCACTATACGGGGACTTGACACAGGAGGAAGAATCAGTTATTACCTGGTTTCTCCAATCTAAATGTTCCATTTAATGCTGTAATAAAAAAGATATAATGGCCTAAACTACCTTGGTTTTATGTATTCTGTCTAACCACAGTTTGTCAGAACAAAATGTTTTATAACAAAAAAGACGCGGGAATGACGTAAAACGGTTTGAATTGCGATTCAAATTTCGAGTCTCACATTCCCATTTGAAACCGGTCATGTGATTAAAATTATGGGTGGTTGTAACACGGATATGCGACTCTAAACCTTTGTCATCGCATTGACTTCTATGGAGTCGCATGCATCACACACGACTGTCGCGAAAAACCGACTCTACATAAAGACAATTTTGTGTGACACTATAAGCGACCCCGTGCACTCCATATATTACGTTTAAATCATGAGTATGTGTGAGAAATATCTTCGGTAATACTCATCAATGCTTGGTAATAAGTAATAAGATAAAGATGAAATAATTGTTCTAAATGTAAGCGCTACAGATGTAACACTTATTTGTTAAACGAAGAAGTATTGATTTTATGGTTTTATTCAATATTTACTTCTTACAAGATTATCAGTCGACTTTATACGAAGTTTATTATTGTAACATGGTAGCAGAAATGTCATTTTATTGAGTGCTACATGTGATTGTATGAATTTAACATAACTATATAATGTGTATAAGTTGCACACATCAATTCTTCGATTATCAAAAAAAGTCTCGGTATATTTAAGTAACCTCGCATCTGTTCTTGGGTACCAGAAGGCAGGAAAAGAAAGCGAAGTCGACAAGTTGGGCTAGCACGACAGCGACATAGAAGTACGAGATATTGCTATTCTCTATACGAAAATATTATCTCGCGCATTATGTCGGTTTCGAGCAAGTCGCGCTCTATCATGCTAGCTCTATAGAAAAGAGTTAGAGAGAGACTTGTTCGAGTAGGACAGGAAATGCGAAGAATAAAAAACAGGAAAGAATGAGTAAAAAGAAAAAGGGTCTTTTGCCCAATAAAAATCGAACAGAAAAATCCGTCTGTACTGTAACCTTTTTCAAGAGTGTGTTTAAAAAATTAACTAGTTTCAATGACGATTGTAATAATTAGTTCATTTAACCACACTATATAAAACATGTTATCGCTTTCTTAATATGTAAATTTGAACTTTATTATTATATTTTAAAGAAATCTGCCTACATTACGTTTCTTGCGTTTGATTTCAAAGAAGTTCGTCCGAAAATCATAGATAGATATTTTCCATACAAATTTCTTTAACCCACACATTGGCTTTAATGTCCTTTGTAAAAAATACATTTTGAAATGAAGCCAGTGTCCCTGCCGCTCGACCCAAGCAAAATGAACCGTATTAGTACGGGAAATAACTTTAATTCGGAATGAGGTCTTACGAGTTGTTTCCTCGCTGCGTTCGTCATTTCCTCTAAAAAACGCTGGGATTATGTTTATAATACATTAAACTCTGTGAATATTATATCTGGAATGTTTATATAAAATCTACATTATGATGGCATATATTGGCGGTGGCGGTATATTAGATTGAAACTTGTTATATCAATCGTCTATTATACCCAATGATCTTTATATCATGCAAGGATATGTCAAAGGTCTGTATACCATAAATTAAATTATATCCGTTGAGGGTTATGTCGACCAAAAAATCATGTCATTTATTGCTATACACAATTTTATAAATAAAATTATACTTCTGCCTTGCACAGTGTGCTTCTGGACAAACTCTTTTACAAGGAGCTCTATTGCTACTAAACGTGTGTGCGGCTAGCCTTCCCATACAAATTACAAATTCATCAGTAAGCTTCAAAGACGTATTGTACCCACCGGCTAACTCAACGAACAATCGATGATATGCCTTGGAGAAGGAGAAAGTGGTGTTGCTTGACTCCATGTTGGCTGCGCTACCCATGTCGTGTTTCCAACCGGCTGTCATGAACAACTCTCCCGCATTTTATTGTTGCCAAGTGTGCCGGTGATACCTGGAAAAAGATGAGAGGTTTCTTTTTAAGTACAATTTAATGTAGTTAAAAACATTTTGCAGGTACAATGACAATTATACTTAAATACAATGATTGTAGATTAGTCGTAAAATTTTCCGTCATTCGGGACAGTAGCCTGTCCCGCCTTAGCAGGCGTCTAATTGGCCATACTGCCAGATCTTAGTTTGTAATTTTTCATTGATAATTTAATTTTCTGACATTTTAGTCGATGTATTGTTATGTTTACGGTGGCCATTTTGAAACCATGATTGTAGATATTATGTTTGAGAAACTTAACCAAATTTTTTTTAAAAAACAGTCTGGGGATATAAGGATTATCATTGAAAATTTTATTTTGTCAAAAAATTGCGATTTTATACACGATATCGTACAGCGTCGTCGTATCTGAGGATGCACTCAGAATTCAGTAGTGTACTTGACGTAATAACATGAAACATAGTAAGCATAATTATTACAACTTTATAAAAAACAACCGACCGCCAAAGTTTGTGGAATTATACCTCTTTTTCCAAGGCTTATTGAAATCGGTTAAAGGAAAGTGAGAATTTGCCACTCTTAGAGGTGGAACATTTTCTTCAAATTTGAATGGATTCTCTACGGAGGTACTCTCTTTTCCCTGTTCGTCTTTTGTCTATTAAAACTACCACCACGGGGTCTTGCTGTACGGTGACTCATCCACGTTTAATGTTACACAGAGTATGAAATGTGATTTCTAGATGAATTCCAGCAGTTGATAAAACTTGTACCTTACGTCATTTACGTAGAAATCAAATTTATACATTTAAAAACGACTATTCGCAAAGACTGATATGTGACCAAGTGTATAACGTAACAATGAAATTAATATAAAACGTGAAGCCTGATTTGTATGTGGATAGTAAACAAAAGTATTTGTATATTGATTTCGTGAGTCAACTGTGACCATAGGACCTGTAAACAGCCCGAAATGTTGGTTTATTTGAAAAAAAAAAATACGCGATTTAATACCGGAAAAATAGTTTAATTTCCTAAAAGTATTTGTATTTGGCAACACAGACTGCGCACAAATAATTTGTATTTATACACGTAAAAATAAACACTCTGAAATATCACAACACATTTTTATCGCCAGAAAAATTACCAAGAAATCAGTGGACAAACGTTATTTCAGTATTGATCGAAATATTTCACAACCTTTGACCTTTTCCCATTTGGGAATAGGAGAATCAATTTTCATTAATTTCGCATATGACTATATAATGATATCAAATCAAAATACTTGCAAAGTAGAATTAATAATGTCAATTCTAGCTTGCATTCAATAAAAAATTACTTACTCAGTAATTGTACAATTCAAATTAGATTAGAGCTGTACCTACCTACGTCATTGTGATTATACTACACATTCTTTCTACCCATACTGGAAGACGGTATTATCAAATCGTATAAACAACATTATTTCCTATTGCTTTAATACTTAAGGTTAATAAATTTTGGCACTATCGCGAAACAAAACACGTGTGCGCTCTGTGCGAAATTCTGTGCAAGACTGAGGTCCCATCCCCTTCACTGCTGGCGCCATTAAGGGGTGGCAGTGTTGGTAAGGGTGGTTTTGGGTAAATGTTAAACATATAGGATGCACTAAATACGCGAATTCGCGAAGCTTCGAGCTTTAATATGTTTATTTTGTTATTTATAACACATTACCGTAATTATCAATTGCAAATTCATTGCGTTTAAATAACTTGAAAAAGATAACCACAATTCAGAGAAAGAAAATGTTCTAGTGTCCAGATGTTAAGTTTTTGCGATTAATATCCCTTTGAAATCAAGCTATTGGTCAGCTGTGACCATGGACCATTCAGGACCCTGAAACCTTTTTATTCTAACCGGTTGTGAACCTTCTTAAATGTGTATGTTTGGTCACGATATTTTCCTTCACCGAAAAGCTCATGGTAAATTAAATTTTCGCACATAATTTATGTTTTAACCGGGTATACGGTATCACGGGTACCATGGACACGCACATAGATAACCTCAAATTACACCCAAACTCATACAAAAATTCTCGCAGCCCGGGAACTGAACCAGAGACCTCTGCGTGGCAGACCAACATGGTAGCCGTTCGGCAACGGAAGCAGTAAAAATTCCGAGAAACTCTGAGATGCCAGTTCGGATTCAAACTCACGGCCTTTGCTTGCGAGTCCATAGGTCAAACCATTAGACTACCACGGCTTTTAAGCGGTTTTTGATTAGAAAAAATAGTTATACTACCGAAAGTGTTCTAGATTTTTATTACTTATTAGAGATAAGAGAGATGTTCCTAGATACTAAGCGTAATATATCATCCTGTATGAGAATTAAAGCCCGAAAGGTGGGTGGCAACCACCTCGTGTACCCTTTTACTTGTTACCAACGCTGTATTAACTCTATGTCAAATGCCATAAAGTCGACAATAGTATAGGTTTAGAAAATACCATCATTAATGTTGATTTAGCGATATTATTATATTTAAATAAATATTTATCTATGTAACTACTTAAGCGTTGTAAATCTAAATAGTCACTTTAATTCCCTGTTGTAAAGATTGGGACAAGCAGAGTTTATTCATAGTTTAATGAATTCAACGTACCGACTACTTCGAATTACTAATAGAGAATATAAAATTTAGAATAGTTTTTTTTTATTTTTAAGTAGTAGAACTCTTTGGGAAAGAGATCGTCCACAGAAGTTTTTTTTAATAATATCAAGTGAGCCTGTCCATAACAGTTGCTGTGCCACTCAGAGCTTTAAATCGTAAATATCTGGGGGGCACTGCCACTGTGCCCTGAGACATAAGTTGACAAGTCCCATGTGCCTGTAATTTCACCAGCACCCTTATGGTTAAAAACCGAAACGCGATAATGCTCACATTGACGTCGATTCTTCGTATAATAAGCAACACGTGATTTTTTAATTATACGAACCCTTCAAAACCGGTACACTGTAATGCTGATATAACTACTCGGCGGCAGAAATGGATAAGGTGGCAGTACTTCCCTGGACGAACTGATCTTTCACGAGGAGCCCTGCTGCTACTGAATTATAAGTACTGCCACTTTACCTATTTCTACCGCCATGTTCACATTACTGCGTTTCAGTTTTGAAGGGTAAGGGTACTGATGTAATAACAGACACGTGGGCATTGACTTACAATTATATGGACGTCGGGTCCGCGCTAAAAAGTGTCCGCACTTGTAAGGCGCTAAAATCGTATACACAGCGCCAAACTCCGCTTTAGTCAAATCAAATCAAATCAAAAAAAGTTTAAAAAAAAGTTTTTGTATTAGACCCTCCGTCCATTTATTTGTAAGTCAATGCACGTGGGACTTGTTCCACTTAAGCTCAGATTGACTCTGGAATTGCTATGGACAGATATGTCACTAGGTACATAAAAAAAATTAGTTCAACCGAGAGTTTTACAAGTTTACAAGTTTTATATAACGCACACACTCAACATAGCCCCGCACTAGGGAAACCCTGTGCCGCGGGTGCCATGGACACACACATAGACAACCACAAATAACACCCAAACTCACGAGAGAAATAAATGTAGGCCATACACATATTTCTCCCAGCCTGGGAATCGAACCCAGGACCTCTGCATGGTAGTCCGGCATGGTAACCGTTCGGCCACGGAGGCAGTTAAAAAACGAGAGGACCTAAACATTGAAACTCTGAGATCAGTGTGCTTGGTTACAGGCAGCAAGATATGCGAGATCTATTTTCCATCATATTTACCGAATTATCATTCAAAGACCGGACTCGTGTCACTTGTGTGTGTTCCCGATAGAAAGAAAATAGGATTATTGTTACTAGGCGGTTTAACTGTGTTTCTTATTTTATAAGATCGTGGCTAAAAATGGAAATATATTACCTTGCTAATCCGAGAATTCAATGAAAGTAGGTGTCACTAACGGCAACTAATGCCGAAAAAAGTCAGTACAACGATCTCGGGAGAATTTCGAGGTCTCGGTAACTGAACCCGTAACTCAGATGGTAAGAGCAATGCTACGATGCGGCATGGACGTATGTTTATGTCCCACTGGGTCGACGAAAATTTTTCTATGTGTTCGATCTTTGCATTCATAATCATAACACAACTAGTAGTAGTTAGTTAGTTAGGTAGTTATTTCACAAAAAATCTCAATAAATAAATTCAATGAAAGTTAAATAGTAGAAAACAGCTGCGTATGTGTTGAATACTTTTCCATATAATTAATTCCCACCTCTTCCCCTTACTCCGCATAAAATAAATATGTCTTTTAAGCTTTAACATTGTATTTTTGTATTAACATTTTTTTTTTATTTAATCATATCTTTTTCACTTATTGTGTTTTGCTGTTTTTTTTAAATTTATTATTAGTTTTTGTTGATTCTTCTGTGATGTCATTTGTGATGCACGTTTTAAAGGAAATTTCGAACCCTTATTTGTTACTAGGCCTACGTTCAAGTAACTAAACATAAAAATAAACGACTTTATACTTCTCCTTCTTCACAAGTCTTTTACCAAAGACATAATTATGATGATTGAGAAATAATCCTATTTCCATTACACACATATTGCTATTATCATGTTAAACTAAAAAAAAAATAAAAAAAGCGCAGATTGCAGTCCCACAAATAATATAAAATATGACAATATAATTTTTCTTATATACTCGTATACGAAGTAAAAATCCTTATTTTTGTTTAACCTTCAACCAAAAAGAACAAGTATTTAATACCATTAAATACTCTCATTGTCTAATCAAAATTCACATTACAACCAATGTATACAATTTTCGCAACAAAGATTTATGCTGACAGAGAAATAACTTTATCTAAAAACCAACAAACATTGACCTACCACGCCCCTTAACTTGAATACGAGAAACATAAACCCTAAAGCCATTGCGTCTAACATTAGAGCTCTACCTAAATGGTCACATATCAATTCACAAAGTTAATAAATGCAGCTG